AGAGAGAGAGAGAGAGAGAGAGAGAGAGAGAGAGAGAGAGAGAGAAGCATTCCATGCAGAAGAATCAGATTAGTTATTCAGTTTCTAAATTCTGCCTGAAGCCAACGCGTGCTTTCTCCCTTGGTTATGAAACGTGTGGGGGTGAAGGAAAGGGAAACAGCCAGCGAAGACATCTGACAGCGGGAGAGAGGGAACAGAAGTTACCATGGTGTGATGGAAATCAAATTAATTTAGCTCCAAACACACACCTCCCTGCTGCCTGGCAGAAATGCAGAGGGACATATTTGTCTCTGGGCAAAATGCTCCCCAGCTGGTATTGCCATCGTCACCTTGACCTTAATTAAAGAAACCTAGATGCTCACAGTCTGGACTCACAAATGGGGTTGACGTTCCACTTTTAATTGTTAGGATTCTTTCCCTCCACCTGTTTAGGGGGACATTGATTTCTAGATGTGCATTCAGGTTCTTTTGGTTTCTTTGTTTTTTAAACCATGGCCAGGTACCCACCCTCAACACACACACACACACACACACACGGATATATTTTCCACTCTTCTCTGTGGGCTGTCTCTCTCTCTAGCCCGCAACATGGATAACAAGAGACCTAAAATGGAGTCTGGCTGCCTTCCCATTTGAATTTTGGGGATTTACACAGGGAGCTCTACTCTTGGAATTCCCATTCCTTTTTGGCCAGATTATTCTTTGTCAGAGCACTAGACCTGTTTTCCAACAGTCACAGAACTTCTAAACCTAATCTCGTGCATTCCCTGAACACCAGTCCTCAGGGTCCTAAAGGGTTTGTTATGCTTGAAAATATACACACGTTATTGGAATAGACAGACAGGCAGACACACAGACAGATATCTATTTGCCCACTTCCAGGGAAATTGCAGCTAAAAGTCTGTGTTAAGGTTATAAAAAAAAATGCCCTTTTATTCACACAAACTGGAAGAGACAGCCTCACATCCTGCAAATTATTTACTTGAACTGTGTTTGACTCACAGCCCTCCCATTGAGAGATATGAGACATTAAACAAAGTGTGTATCTTTTCTGAGCTTCCATTTTCCTGTGAGGAAATAGACCAATATTTAGGGTTACATGTATTGCATAACTACGTTGTATTTAGTACCTAAATAAAAACTAGCCTTTAGACATTAATTTTTTTAATCATTTACCAATAACAAAATTATGGATATTGTCACAAAAAGTATGCATTTTTTAAAGATGGGCAAACAGAAGACAAAGTGGTCTATAGACATCTTATCATTAACTTAGGATTTATAAATATTGACTCTTGACTTACTCTAGACTTAGGAATTCCCAACTGATATGATAAAAATAGGTTATATGTATGCATGAACACTCCATTATGAAGCCCACTGTTATGTATAATTGGCACATACTACGCATTATGATTGGTTTTAATGTCACTTCAGTGGGGAACCTCACCTGAAGAACCCTCCCGATGGCCTCCATTGATGTGGTCCGGCCTGCCCAGACTGTGGGGTAGTAGCTCAGATCCAGTGAGAGCATTTCAGAGTGGGTTAATTCTCACCTCTTGTTTGCTTGACCCTTCCTTCACTGCTCCTAGGCTGAGGGACTGATTTCTCTGCTGTAGCAGAACCAGCATTTCCAAGTTTTTGTGGAAGAATGGGGACCAGCGCTCTCCAAGAACTTTGCAGGTTTCCAGCATCAGCCTGGGACCACTGATGCACCCTGCCCTGTGGATTGGGTAACTGCCCAGTAAGAGGCTCAGGAACTGAGTACTGGGTTCTCCTGTCTCAGATGTGATTTGGCTCTCGTTACTTTAAGGCTTCTTTGATAATATATCCACTCACTTGGTTCTGTACCTCTAAGCAAACCCGACTAAAGCATCAACAGTTTCAAGGACACGTAAGACTCATGATCCCAGGGCTGGGGCTGGAGCTCAGTGGAAGACATTTGCCTCGCATGTGCAAGGCCCTGATGTCCAATCCCAGACTCACGATTCTGCAAATGCACTCTAGTAAGTTATATACTTACATGGTATTATTTAGATGACATGTACAGCGTTTGATAATCCTTTTTAGCCATGTCTGAGGTGGACTTTGCTAGAAATTAATTAAGTTTTGTTTCCTTTTGTTTTGATTTGTTTCTATGTCCCTAGAAACACAGTGCCACTAAGTAAAAAAAGCAGTCTTCTGAAGATGGTGGCACCACTAACTCGTGTCCTCTGCTTACCTGTTGAGTGTCTACAGAGAGGAATCATGGGACTTCTCTATATTGTTAAATGGGGGTATTTAATAAGACTCTGGACTGGAAAGGCAGCAGAGACATGGAGACATTCAGAACAGTGTGGCCCTTGAGGAGAAGGGGGAGGTGCTCTCATATTTCCCCCTTATCTCCTTTTATACTTCTCCAATAAAGTGTTTCCATTATGGGACAGGGAAACCCTCCAAATTATATGCAATGTGTAAATACCCTTTTCCTTTATATTTTGCACCCGTGTCTACATCGTCATTACTGATCAAAAGACCTATTGATATGTATGGACTGTCATTGATTCTCTAGGCAGAGATCTTCCACGTTTAACCTCCACACACCATTTCCCTGTGTTGTCGCTGATAAAGAATATTGAAGCGGTCTGAGGGTAAACTGGAGAGGGAGCTGTGACTGGTCATAGCTGGCAAGCAATCTTTCATTCAAGACCTTTGCTTTTCTCAGAAAGAGCAAAGGTGATTCCTGGATATGTCTCAAATATGCAGGTTATCATTAGCAACTGTGTCATGGGTTGTTAACTAAATATGCGGGTCAGTAAACCACAATAACAACTTTTAGCAGATCACAAATTGTGTTCTCCATGAGGTTTTAGCCAATAAAATGAATGAGAGTTCTTATTGCTAATCTCCGACACTATATACACATATACACATACATACACGTACACATAGTCACTGGAGTGCAGTGATTACCTCACAAAAAGGCAACTGGCCATGCCTGAAGACATTTGATTATCACGGCTGGTAGGGAGAGGAGAAGATGATACTAGCATCTAACAGGAAAAGAGCCAAGATGCTACTAAACGTCTCCACTGGGGGAAAAAACAACCTTCCATCGTTGTGGTAAATCTCCAACCCAAATAGGACCGGTTGAAGAACACACAACTCAATAATTATGAATATAAGCTGCACGCCTAGATTGGGCAGATTCACCACTACACTACTCTATTCCCCAGCATGAGACCCTTATAACTTGCGGGTTTTCCAGACCACGTGCTTCTCCTCCATTGTCCTTCCACCTCCTGCTCCTCTATCAGCTTCTTCCTCCGTTGTCTTCTCCTCCATTGTCTTCCTCCTCTGTCATCCTCTCTCTCCCAGGAAAGGGGAATTAACATCAAAATACAAGATATCAGGAAAGCTGACTATGAGAAAGCATGTTGTCATGATAGATGCTGCTATTGACATTTTAAATTATTGATGTGCCAAGGAGCAAAGAAAGACCAGCAGAAACGATTCTTGTCTTCGTAGATCGGTTCCTCTTGCTCTGCTGTGTAAAGCAGAAGCACCTGGGATGAACCAACGCAATCAGGTTTTCAAGACAAATAAAGCTGGAGTGTGGGCATCATCAGGTCCCTCCAAGGACTATCACCTTTTCTCCACATGTACACTGGGTGAGATATATACAGACCAAAGAGGGTGTGAGCAGTCATTTGTTTTTATTCAGAGGCAAGTATCCTGTCAAACTCTTCCCTGTTTACCAAAGGGAACCCATATGCATCCTTCTGTAATCAACATTTCCAACATAGTATTTATATTACTATATACCCAAATTATTATACATACCCAAAGAAGATAAAGTCACCACCTTGTAAATAATACATCTGAAATTTGCTTTAAAGTAATCCTGTGCAGTGCAGAAAGCAGCGAGAAGGGCGTAAACTGAGCAAAAGGCGTCTGTAAGTTGACCTTTGTTACAGTTTGGTAATGGAGTCACAACTCATCCTCACTACGTATGTTTGACGTTGTGCACAACAAATATGTTTCAAGTTGTAAGCTAGTAGCTTCATCTTTAAAATAACGCAACTGACAGTTCACGTTAGCTTATAAGATGTTAGAGAAGGTGGACAGTCCTCATCCTCACTGTAGTAAAGACGGACACATCTGGAATCTCAAACGGTTCCTATACAGGGAGGGCAAGAGTGTCTAAAATCTACAGTAGTCCAGATACCGTTCGCCAACAGAAGATCTGCTCCAAGACCCTCGAGGAATGCCTGAAACTGTGTAGAGTAGACCCAAGCACTGCTATAGAACAAAAGTCAATCTGTTAACTGAGACACCCATGTGGCTGGTGAATAGAGTATTCAGCACGGGTGTACCAGCACGGGTGTACCAAAGTGATGACTGGTTTATCATGCTACCGAAACAGTGTGCAAAGAAAACTTATAAACTGTTTTTTTTTTAATTTC